GCCGCCGCGCAGCCAACGGTTGCAGAGCCGTTGACCGCGGGGGTGCTCCGGCAGACAATAACGGAAATAATGACATCGATGATGCAGCAACAGCAGAATATGCTACGTCAGCAGCAGGAGCTGCAGCAGCAGCAATTTATGGTGCAAATAGTGCAACAATTGCAGGCAGCGAAGCCCGCTGCACCTGCAAGCCGAGCCGAGGAGCCAGTGGCTCCGATGAACAATATAGAAAATTTGAATAGGACGAACTCCGCGGGGTCGTTCTTGAATTCTACATATGCTCAGCCGATGCAATTAGTGAGCATAGGGAGCGGGCTGCCAGCAGGAAACGCAATTTCCTGGCTTGCCTCGCAAATCCCGGAGTTTGGGGAGTCTGAAGAGGATTGTGTGTCGGTGTGGGTGCGTCGAGTAGACAGAGTGGCACAAATACATAGTGCAACGGATGGGGTGACCTTGCTAGCCGCGTCGAGCACGTTGATCAAGTTCGCGCGCCAATGGTACGACATACAGTCGGGACCGGAAATCGAGTCGTGGCAAGGCCTTCGCCTTGAACTATTAAAAATTTTTGAGCAAAAAGTGCCGTTTTATAAGGTGATACAACGAGTCGAAGCGCGAAAGTGGAACGCGCAGAAAGAGACTTTCGATCAGTATGCAATTGCTAAACTCGCGCTCATTAATAAAATGGACTTGCCGGTAAAAGACGCGATCCATCTGTTAATAGGTGGAATCGCGCAAAGCTCAATGAGAGCCACCGCGCTTTCAGTAGCAGACGAATCCTTGGACAATTTTCTCGCGAAAATGAGGATTATTACCGAGGGCAGTGCCGAAAGTGAAAAGAAGACAGTGCCGAATGTGACGGTGAGAGACAAAGATAGTGCGTGCCGGAATTGTGGAAAAGAGGGACACACACATCAAGTATGTAGAAACGATATTACGTGCTTTTATTGCAAGAGCAAAGGACATCGCCAATTTGATTGTCCCGCGCTGAAGGGTCGAATTGACGGGAAGCCGACGTTGCCGAGACAGCCGTCAGCAGCTCTGACAGTAGCAGCCGTTTCAGAGGACGCAACCTATGAAGTTGAGCCAGACACCATCATCGCTACGGCCCTGAACAAGAAAGGCGCCAAATCCGATCTCGACAAGCCGTTGGTAAAAGTAACGAGCATCTGTAAACGTAAATGTGACTTAATAGCGTTGATAGATACCGGTAGTCCGGTTTCGTTTATTAAGAAAAATGTATTTGTCAAGTTTGTCAAACCGTTCTCGCATGATTTAATGCCGCCAAATAATAGATTCGTTAATTTGAGTAACAGGCCGTTGTCAATTCTTGGAGTCACGCCGATTGAAATAATGTTAAGCCAGCTAGGCGATAAAATTCTATCAGTTAACTTTCACGTACTGAATGAACAATTCGACAATGACTTAATTTTTGGTAGAGATTTGATTAAAAATCATAAACTTACAATGAGAATCGAATACAATAAGTCAGTTGATAACCAGCCGGAATGGGATGTTAGTTTTTCACCACGATTGTCGTTAAACGATGCCGATGTCTCGCCAGAAAATCTAGAACAGATAGATAATAGTGAAATTGATTTCGATAACCATGATAAGTGTTGTACTTTAAGGAGGAAGGGTTCTCCGACTGAATGCTGCGTAATTCTATAAGATACTTTATTTCGTCTCTACAAGATAAGCCCGTGATTGCACAACGAGTTGACTCTCTCTGCCCTACTCTACGTCTGCCTCGCCCTGTCTCGCTCCGTCCTGCTGCACGCCCGTCTCGGAAGATGTCGTGCCTGTTCCGGCGCCAACCATTGAGTAAAAAGAAACAGGAGGGAGCGTTTGGTCTTAAAAGTGCGGATGGAAGTGACTATATAAAGTGGTCGCTCAAGATGGCCGCTCAAGGGCGCCAATATTAAATGACTTGTTATGTTTAATTAGGAAATAATGTACAATTAAAAGAAAATAACTATAATATGCAACAATAATACCAAATTTTAATGGCGTTTTTCATTGGGATTGCACTCGTGCAGTATTTTTATAAGAGCAATGTTAAAATCTAAAATCTAAATTTATATTAAATCCTTCGTCCTTACAAAAATTTATCCATGCATTTCTTTGATCCGGATTTTTCGGAAACCTGTTTGTGAGTGAAAATTATTTAGTAATTATTGTGAATCTACAATTTCACAATACTATACATATGATTATAATCTCCAAAATAAAAATCTTATTATTGTTGATAATACTAACCGATGAAACGTTATT